CTTGACCACAAAAAGAACAAACACGTATACGGGTTCAATACAGTGCAATGGCCGGCCTCCCCTTTAATAAAGTCCTTATAAGTCCCGCGTCGGTGAATCACAAGCGGCACATAGATGGTTGTTACTGAGTTATTGTAGCCGAGGCTTAACATCGACCGTGATGACAAACAAAGATGGACAAAGAATCATGTTAAGTTCTGCATAGTGCATCGGAGAAACATGAGGGAAGAGTTATGACACAGGGGAGATGTTAAGATGACACATCAGTGGGAGAGTAACACACCCAATTCCAAGGACGCCTGCTAGACTTTACCAGAACGGGTGTTGAAACCCCATCGTCTGCGTCTTCCACTCTTTAAGTTAACACTATAACGGGATTTCCCAAATAAACCGGATCAGGGTAGTAGTTTTTTGCTGTAGGATATATTTTACTGTTCCCTTCGGGCCACCGTTCCTTCAAAATCACAGTGACAAATGTGGAAAATGAAATGGTCTCAAATATTAAACCCAACCCCCCCCCAAAAAACCCCACATGCTTTCTACTTTTTTGTTCTCTAACGCGGCCGAGGACTATTGGTTCGTTTTTCTGCTACAGTCCCAGCATTACTCTTCCGGGAAGCGAGTTTGTTATATAGCAGAGACATAATATGGTCCCACGGGGCTGGATCTGCTTTCCAGGTTGCGATAAACTCGCCACTCGTGCACATGCTGGTGTCGGAGCAGGAGCTGACCCTTAATCAGCGCAGTTTGGCCAACAGCAACTGAGAGCCACAATTATCTGCCCTATAGATAGGTGAGCTGAATGCTGGGGGCCAGGGGCTGTGGAAAGGGAAGAGGCTGTCAGGGGGGGGAAGAGCCTGTGTTAACCTCTGTGGCTCGTGTTTCTACTGTGCACTAATGGACGCCTGTCATCATTATGGACAGAAACAGGAGGGCGCCTGCCAGCTGCATGACCCCCATAAAACAGAACAGGAAATCCTCGCAGAGAATGAAAGGAAAGGAGATTCCTTCACGTCGTTTTTTTTTCTACTCTTCTCCTCTCTGTAGTGACCTTTTATTCACTCTTTGGACTCTTATTTATGCTGCAAAACTGCAGTGTCACTCACAAGGCCGGGGAAGAACACGCCGGCTGTCCAGGTGTTGAGGCTGCTGTCACCTGGTTGTATGTAGCATGATCGCTTTGGACGCACAGTTCATTTACCTCTTGCCTCCTCTGTTAAAAGCCTCGGCGTGTTTTACAATGCTTCTGCCACGCAGGGAGGAACCTGTATAATCATTACATACAGCGGTTCACCCTTTGCTCGGCAGCTAAAGTCCATGTCCGTAATGTGACAGGACTTTGTCACACTCCCGTCAGTGATGTCCACTGAAACGTGACAACTTTATCGAGGAACCCTCCTATCAGACCTCCAGGAGATCACTCACAAACATGTGAAAGACAACGTCCACGGGAAGCAAGATTCCTTATTACGGCCAATAAGATAGCAAGATAATCTTTATTGTAGTTCTGAGGCTACACATTAATCCACTCTGCTGGAGTCTTTAGAGCTCATCATGTGATAATCTAAGTCATTAACAGTAGTTGTCAACAAAACCATGGAATCTTTCGAGATGTGGCAACACGGAGGAAAAAAAAAGGAGACTTCTGTGTGAGAGAGCAAGAAAACGCACAAACACACACACATGATCGTCTGCATTTGCATAGGCATGTCTGTGTGTGTGCGTGTGTGTGTGTGTGTGTGTGTGTGTGTGCCATGTCCATGGAGACGTCCCTGTGCGTGTGTGATCGCGGCGTGATTCACGGTGTCACAACCGTGCACAGAAACGACTGGACATCCTGAGCGGAAACCACAGCCGTCGAAGCTGCGTTCTCCAGCGACAGACAAACCGACCACTCTCACAAAGAGTCACTTGACTGGACCCTCATATAGGAAGTGAAAGAGGAAGCCCGTCGTCCATCCTGTGCTCCATCCCGATCTCTGCTCTGCACTTCATGTGAAGCCGCGCTCTCCGCAGACCAGCGTGAGCCTTGACTGTTGCAAAACACCGGGTGAAAGAACTGGCTGAGGCTGGAAACGGCTCGCTGTTTGGGGGTTGGGGGGGTTGGGGGGGTTGGGGGGGGTCAAATGTCTGGTGCGTTGACACTCGGCCAGAGGAGATTAGTGCCAATCACTGTGGCGAATGCGACATTCGCAGATTGCTCAACGAGGCTTGTTTGAAACAAAAGAATATTTACCCAGCCGATCGACTAATTCTTATTTGACGGGGCTACTTTGTATCTAATCTCTCGCCGGGTCTCTCGGTGAGCACACTTGCGTTTAGAAAGTCACGCCGGTGTGGGGGGGCCAAAACCAACATGCCCCCCCCCCCCCCTCCCACCCCCCCACACGAAAAGCTGTGAAGTGCGATATCGCAGAGGGAGGCGGCGAGGGATGTTTGACTGTCGGGTCCGCCGGGCCCTGGCGGCTCGAGGCCTCTGGCTGTGTTCATTGGTGACGGCGCACGTCGCCTGGCAGCCTGCATTCCTCTGCCTCTCCCCACACAATGGTGAGTCTCTGCAGCATTCCTCTGTCTGTGTCCGCTGTCTGAGATGCAGCCGGGCCTCGGCAAAACCTCCCGCACTCTGCCAAGAGGTGGGCACACCGCGTTTCAGCGCGTTCTGACGGGACGCGAGGGAGCGTCCGCACCGGGCGCCGGCCCTCTACGGTGGTGGTAGTGGTGGGGGGCCTTATTTGATTGTGTGAGAGTGTGCCGAGGTTTACATCTAGAGTGGGCATCATGGTCGCGATAATAAAAAGGCCTCCGCGGGAGAGGTTTTGAAATAATAGCTTCCTCTTTAAGCGGCTTCATCGCCGCATACTGGCTCTTCCATTTTACTTCGCGCAAACGTCCCTTCGTCTGCTTTTTAAAAAATGCAAGCGCGTCTATTCTCAATCGTTTACACTGCTCTCTCTCTCTCTCTCTCTCTCTCTGATGCCACAGCCGTGCAGACACCTTTCCCTCCTGCTGACTCAGTAGCCAGCCTCAGGCGCTGTGGGCTGGGGGTGTTGGTGGCGGGGAGGAGGAGGAGGAGGAGGAGGAGGAGGAAGAGGAGGAGGGGAGGTGGGGGGAGGGGTAGTGTGAGGCTCCCACATCAGGCCCACCAGCCTATCACGCGCGAGGGAAAAGAGCTGGCTAATCGTTTCTACAATGGCACCCAGCACACTGTCACACAGCACCACAAACCGCTCTCCTCGCCAACACTTCTGCCGTATTATTCCGCCGTTGGTCAGGAATCCTCATGTGATGCATGTAAAGTGCGCAAACATGCCGCACGGAACAAAGAAGTGATTGAAAAACCACACCTACTAAAATGCATCAGTGCGGGCAATGTTAAACATATGCAAGTACACACAAACATGCATACCTTGCACTTGCTTTTCCCCAATTTGCATGTGCAAATACGACCTCACACTCGATGTAAAATGCTACAGAATTTTACAGAAAACGGTTTTAGTTCATAATAACCACTCACCTGATTCTATAATTTAGAAATAAAATACCGCCGTGTAGAATTATATTTACCAAAGACAAAAAAAAAAACTAGACTAATTTGATAAGACGATTCTCCATATGTGCTGCATGTAGCAGTCGTGTGAGGAGGTTTACTGTTGGTGAGCATATTTACGATTACATTTTTGAAATTTAAACTGTGCCTGTAAACAATTCCATATAGAAGAGCCACTGATTAATGAGCCCTTCTCAATAGCATTAAAATACAGGGGAGCATTATTCATTGCCACAACCATCTGGATATTTTCAGCTACATCCTCCGTGTTCGCAAACGCACTCATCTACGTCACGTACTCCCGGGGCAGCGAGTCGACCTTCAGGGATCGGCTCCGTTTTCAGAAGGAAAGTGTTGTTGCACCTGTGGTGGGATTTTCAGAGCTGCTGTCCCTCAATAGAAGAAGGGGGGAGGGGGTCAAAACTTCTCAGGGGTCACGCTAGAAGAGAGAACCTGGTCTCCAGGTTAAAGGGTGGCGCCATTAACAGAGCCACCTGCCCGGCTGGATTCCCACTGAGCGGAAAGAGAAAGTCTCCTCTCACTGGGAAAAAACTCCCTACATTTTTCTGTGTCTTCTCAGCGCAGAGGCCGTGACAGGGGTTATAAGCGCAATTTACAATGTGGCCACTTATCACGCATTATCACAATGGCCTTGGTACTATTATAGTCATCCAAATATTATTGTAGTCCTGAACTGGGAAGGATCCGTTGTCGGGAAATTTGCTCGAGGGTTTTCAAAATGTAACAGGAGAGACACAAACAACAAAAAACAACGCCAAAAGAAACCCAAAAGCGAAAGAATTCCTGCGCCGCCGGCCTGCGGAGCGCCCCGTTTCTCTCTTCCTCTGTTAATGAATGCAGAGGTGATCTTTGTCTGAGGAAGAGAGCAGAAGGGAAGCCTGATTTCCACTCCTTTTTATCTGTGCCCCACAGCCCCTGCCAGTCAGCCCCCGGAGCTCGCACATGCCCGGGTCCCACAGGAAGCCGCACTCCATGAAGGGCAAAGGTCAGGGAAGAAGGGAAAGCCACTCTGGTCCTTTTCATTCACCAACAGATACACAACGCTGTTACCGGGCTCCTGTTTTTCTTTGCAGTCTTATAATAATAATAATAATCTGATGAAAAAGTAGAATGTATGTGTGTTTCCAAAAAATTGTATGTTAGGGTGAGTTATAATAAAAGTGTTTTGTGGTGTCTACAGCGCACACAAACTAGTTTCACATTTACAAATTCTATCTAGTGTGTGTGTCCTTTTATTGTTTTTCCTTTGTATATTTTATATTAAATATTTGAGTGTGAATTTAAGAAATGTTATCATAGCTTGCATGAGAATAACTAATTAGAATACTAATAATTACTGTGTGTTGCAAACTGGAAAAGTTGGTCTAAATATTTCCCCGTGTGGACTATTTTTTTGTGAGGTTGTACATCTATATATGCAGAAGAGACACAATTTTAAAAAGTCACAATAGTTTTATTGATCCATAGCAAATTAAAAACAGTGGATGAAAAACAATTTGCATAATCATATATTATCTTAAAGAGAAAAGCAAATAAGGAAAACATCTGTCCCGCAGAATCGGCTTCATAAAAAATAATATAAATGCCATTTAAACATAATTCTTCTTTGTATGTTTTCTATTTTAAGGAAGCGTGGACACACATTATAATTTGAGCTAAAAAAAAAAACTAAGCAAAGCAAAATCACCAAAATGAGGATTGAGGAGTAACTAATGCAGAAGGATTAAAGTTGCATATTAATAAAAAGGAAATATTCTCCAATTTCAAGTCCTTTCAGACAAAATACAGATACGCCCTGTAGAAAAAAAACATGTCATGCATGTCCTGCATGCATGCTGTATTGTAATTTTGTATCCTAACTTGTTGCCTAGTTGTATCTATTACAATGATTTCAGCGATATCCTTTTTGTCCAACGCTAATTACAACTTTGTGTATCCATTTGCTTTGTTTGCTAAATAGCCAGGCGAGCTGTCAACATAATGCCTCCCCGTGGAAAAGCATCAGTTCTGCAGGAGAATTTAACAAAGTCACATCAGATACTCGGGCGAGGAAGGGTTGTCACTGGTGGACCCGGTTTCGTGGTAACAGTTTGCGCCGGACAGTTTCTCGCATTTAAGTTTGTATGCGTCCCGCTCCCGCATCAGCCTGTTCAGTTCGTGTTTCAGCGTCTCGACCTGGGACACCAGGCTGGTCTTCTCGTGCTCCAGGACGTGCTTCTGCTGGACGCGCTTGTACCGGCAGGACTGCGCGTAACCCCGGTTCTTCAGGGTCCGGCGCTTCTGCTTCAGGCGCATCACTTCGTCCTTGCCGAGGCCCCTGAGGAGCCGGTTGAGCTCCCTGACGGACATCGACACCAGCTGGTCGTCGGAGAAGTGGCTGTCGGCGTTGGACAGCCGGTCGTGGCGGCTGTGCTGGTGGTGCGCGCCGAGGACCTGCTTGTCCTCCGGGGACTCGGGTGACGCGCAGCCCATGTCGTCTTTGTACGGATCTTGGCAGTGGCTGCTGTGGATGCCCTGCATGTCGGGGTGGCCCGGGAGCCCCCCGTAGTGCTGGACGGGCTCGTTCAGTTGGCCGTACCCGTCGTACTCTGCCTGGAAATGTGGCGGCTGGTGGCCGTGGGGCACAGACGGGTGTCCCTGCTGCGCCGTGGCGCCGATCAGGGCCTCCATCGCGTCCTCGGGTGTCAGACCGAAGGCTTGGGGGTACATTTGCTGCGGGTAACCCCCGTTGTTGGGTATCCAGAACTGGTCGCCCCCGGGGTTATTTCTCTGCTCGCTCGGATTGAGGTTCGGCGAGGAGGGGACCGAGTTACAGGGCGTGCTGCCGGGAGTGGACGAGACGGAGTCCGGTCTCTGGAGCTGGCTGCACGGCCCGACGAAGGAGCGGTCGATCCTCTGCATGTCCTCCTTCTTGACGCCGAACTTCATCAATTCAAAGTCGCTGACGAAATCCATGGGGTTTTTCTGCAGTCCCAAATGCGAATCGCTCATGTTCACTGGCAAGCTGGTCTCTTCGCAGAGCTCCGAATGTCCAAAAGCTATTTCATGCAGTCAGCGAAATCGCGCTTACTTTCAAATAAAAAAAATAAAATAAAAAAAAAACACGGCAGTTAATCCCAAACTTTGATTTCAGTTCAGAAGGGTGGAGGAGAAGAAAAAAAGCCCACACTCGTGCCTAAAAGCCTCCCACCTGATCAGAACTCTGCCAACCGGAGATTTGTGCACCGCGCAGCCCTTTTTTTTTTTTTTTTTCTTCCTCCCTCGGCTTCAGTCGCCACACGCTAGAAGTCCACCGATGACGCCAGCGGACTGGACGCGCCTCTCTGCCTGCTCGGGAGAAGCGCACTTTCTTCATAAAGCTGCATTGGCATGATGTCACGCCTTCCAGGCTACACCTCCGCGCTGCTCTCCAATGGAAACGCGCTGAGGGGGGAGATTTGCATGGGAGCTGCTGCGAGGCCGCCCCCCCATCCCCTCCGTGCCCCCCCCCCCCCCAAAGGGGTGTTCGTGATGATCATTTGACCAAAACCTATAAATGTCTGCACAGCGGAACACCATCTTCTGCATCACGCTTCTTTAACAGTTTGACTCCATTTTACACGTAGGCCTACTTACCCCACATGTTTGTGTGGATTCGTCCCGTTGTGCACAAGGGCCGGTGAAATACCTTCGCACGCACACACACACACACACACACACACACGGGCGAATCCGCGCAGTGATTTTATTGTTTGTCAAGCAAAATACGCTCAACATATGGGCTCACTTTGATCTGCTTCGCGTTTACGGTCACATTGTTTCCCTTCGTCCATCATTTGGTTTACATTCCAGACAAATTTATACAACTTGTCGCAAATAAATACCCCGATACACTTCAACAAAAAGAGCAGCTGTAAGATGATTCAGTCGAGCCTTTTGCGGTCGCTGCGCTCTTTAGTCAGAAGGAAGGAGAACACTGACACCTGGTGGCCGCTCGCGCGCACCGCAGCAGAGATCCACTCCTGGCTCCTGCATCTGGACCCTCACTGCGAACATCTGTGCTCCCGGGGGTCCGCCCACTCAAGTTTATGCTCTCAACGTGAATTAACTAATTGTTTGTTCATAGCATAGATATACGTTCATCACTACATGTTGTGGGATCAATTGGGGGGCCGGGGGGGGGGGGGGGGGACATTTCAAAAATAAAAACGCCGCGCAGGGCTTCTCCTTAGTTTACAGCTTCTTGAAAGCTACAGTACAAAATCCAGGATTAATTGCATTTATGATGTGTGCATTGACAGAGGGAGAGCCCTTTCGACATGTGTTGATTTTACAGAAGGTCGGCCTCTAAACCCGACAGCCAGAGGAAAAGAAGGTACCCTGCCGTAACAGCAGCTCCCCAACGTCTCCCCATAGGGGCGTCCAGAGGTGCCACAACTGCACAAGGTATCAAAGCGTTAAGCGACGCTCCGGCCCCGGGATGACACTCTCAGGCACTGCTTATTCCAGAGATAGTGAAAGCTTTACTGACAAGACTCAAGCCAAAGTCAATAGAAAATGCTGTCCCAGAACGCGGGGCGGGGGGGTCAGTTTCAGTCAGCTGTAGTTGCTGGGAACAAAGGAAACGAGGAGACAGCGTGACTGAGCAAGGATGGCTCGGGGAAGTTCGGCTAGGAGCCCATTGCAAGCAGACGCTGGCGTCCCGTTCCGCATGGAGGAAACCAGTCGAGCCTCTGATTACATCACATTCTATCATATTCTTAAAGTCAACCGCATTCAACTCCTCAGATAATCCAGTAACAGCATCCATTAACAAACTGCAGCTGGATTAGGACCATGAAGACAATTAGCAAGGGGTTGTCACGTGGATGACAACGGTCATTCACTTGTTTCTCTCAAAATGCAATAAATGAACGTTACCCACGTCGCAGCAGCCAACAAGACGAGTTAGAGAGAACTTCAGAATAAATAAGGATAAGAGAAAAACAAAAAAAGGTCAATGCTGGACAGTTTTCTTTTTCTCTTTCCTCCGAACAGAAATGTACCATGTCTTTGTCTCCCTTTCTGTCTGTATACACAACATCTTTCCCACATGGCAAATGGGGTCCCGTGTGTTTCAATGGATATTTTGTAAATACAAAAAGGGCCCTAACTAAGAGTTGGCTTCACACAACCTTCCAGTCCACATGTAACGAACATGGAGCGAACAAGCAGCATTAGGAGAAAAGCCACAGCTAGACAGCGCAAAGGAGAAGTGATGATCGCCGGAGAACAACTGAGGTATGAAGAGAGACAGAGAGGGAATCGTTGACTTGTCAGCGGTCGGGTTGAAGGGGATTCAAGGATTACGGTTGAACACGTGTGGCTGATTTGAACTTAATTTCAAGGTTGAGACTCCACGATGGAAAGCTGATCAAGGACCGCCGCTACCACCTGCGCACGTATCCCAACTGCTTTGTGGCACAGGAACTTATAGACTGGCTGGTGAGCCACAAGGAAGCTCCAGATCGAGCGACGGCCGTCCGCCTCATGCAGCACCTCATGGATCATGACATCCTTCACCACGGTAAGAAGGACCCCCCCCCGGCCGCCAAGTTTCAGGGAGGAGATATTGGACGTCATGGAAGCAAAATTAAGAGACACGCTCATTACCAAACTTGTGTGTTGCGTGTCCTCAGTCTGTGATAAGAGGCCGCGGTTCAAGGATGCCAAACTGCTGTACCGTTTCCGCAAGGATGACGGCACGTTTCCCTTCAACAGAGAGGTGAAAATCTTCGCGCGAGGCCAACGGCTCTATGAACAGTAAGAGCTTCGGTTTATGCTTGACCTTGAACAGACGGGATCGCATGCAACTCAAATCAATATGATTTTAAAATTTCACACACGCAGCACGGGCCGCCGTCCGCTGTCCAATAGGTGTTGCTAACTTTGTCTTTTGAAACGCTTCGACCAGCACTTTTGAAAGTTTAATTTGCATGCCTAGGACACATCTGACCTGTGTTTACGCGTCCGCTTCTTCAGTCTCATAGGGGACAAGAAGTCAATTCTGCAGCTGAGAGAGGAGCATGGCGTTGCATATCAGCGCTCCTTTCCTGGCGGCCAGTTGATTGACTGGCTCCTTCAGAACGGGGAGGCGGAGAGCCGGCGCCGGGGGCTGGAGCTGTGCCGCGCATTGCAAGAGCATGGCATCATTCAGCACGGTGAGGGGAGCCCTCACCCGGCCCCTCTGATGTCTGGCACCGGGAACGAGCGCGCTGTCAGAGGCCGCTGTCAGTGGGCGGCCAGCAGAGAAACAGCAAACACAACCCGTCGACTCTTTGTGAAAGATTCAATTCATCACCAAAAACGGTTTTCTTTGTTGCTTCCCCTATCTCTCTCTCTCTCTCTCTTCCCACTTCCACCCCTAGTGGCAAAGAAGTATGAATTCTTTGACAGCGGATTGCTGTATCAGTTCTGCATCAATTTCCGCCGTAGACGTCGTCTATCTGAACTGCTGCGCGAGAGTGAACAGGACGACGACAAAGTGTCCACACAGGAGGACAGCCGCGGCGACAGTCCGTCCGTTCGGCACAAAAGCTCGCCTCAGGAAGGCGATAATGCTTTCCAGTCGGGTAAAAGAACGTCGCCCTCTTTCTTGCACTCAATACGCGTTGTTTGTAAATGCAAACTGTCCCATTACAATGCGGTTGCTTATTTAATTGCAGTGAGGGTAAGTAAAGATCTGACATCGGTCACCGGTGGGCGTCGAGGCAGCTCGAACTCTGCGCAGCTTCAATCTTCTGGATTTCCACTTCTGGTCCAGCTGTCTTCGTCCTCTGTGAGATGCAATCCTGAATCAGGCGAGCGTGTAATAAATATTCATGTCACAATTGTTTGAAAAAAAGGTCAAGATATTAAGTGTATTGAGGTTAAAGGTTGGGAAATAGTGAATTGTTTTTTTGTTTCAGTGCTAAGAAGACATTTTACATGCGAGGAGTTATTTGCACCCGGGGCTCCTTTAATCAAGAAAGTGTTGACGGTGAGTTACTTTAACGTCATTATTGTGAATTGGACAAACAAAATTAATTAATTAAATCAAGCATAACTTGAACAACAGTCCTCCATAGTCAAAAAAAAGTGTAACCTCTCTTGGGGTGAGCTTTCGTGATACCAACACCAAACTATTGTCATGTAGAGACCATGTAAAACAAAGCATCTATTTTACATTAGAACTAGATAAAACACATAGATGTACACACACATATTCTATGTGCACTAATGAAGTTGTATCTCACCAGAACAGAATTATTCCATTTTATGTATAAAAATGGTGTAATTGATCTCACCCTGGTGTGATCGCAGGTTATCGGAGACGCCCTGGGCTGGGGCTTTGTTGTCAGGGGCATGGCACCCTGTTACGTGCAGGCCGTCGACCCTGAAAGCCCATCAGCAGCTTCAGGAGTTAAGGTCAAACATACATTAGACACATTGCACTGGAATTGGAAATAAATCATATTTTACTCAGGGGACAGAAATAAGACCGTTGTACCTCACATCATCTTCTTTAGGTGCGGCAGTTTGTGTGCCAGGTGAACGGACAGTGCGTCCTCTACCTGAACTACAGGACCGTCACCAGACTGGTGATGACAGGCCCTCGCACGATCGTTCTGGAAGTTCTGGAACCGCTAGAATGAAGACAACAACAAGTTTTCAAGTTTAGTTCTTGTTTTAGATACAACTAACATTTACCAAAACTGAAATATACAATTATGTAATGTATTATTTTCAATTAAAGCCTATTCTGTATTACATGGACCGGACAGAGGTCATGAGCTCATTAATGAAACAAAAAGGAAAATAAATCAATGAACATGGTTCTGTGACGACCTGTGCTGTTCTAAAGAACCTCAGTTCCCGAGTGACACGTGTTTTCTTTTTCTGACTGGAAATAAAACACGGTAGTATTCGACCACAAGGAATACTAACTTTCGGCCATCCAGCGCCTGCAAAGCTCCCTGCTGCGACTTCCGTCTTTTTGTCGTCGCCATTTTGGATTGAGAGTTTGGTTGACTTGAAATAGGTAACGATAGCTCGCAGCCTGGCCCGACCACAAGTGCAAGTACAACACTAATAACTAAGTGAGGCCATTTAGTGGTCGCGACGGTCATCCGTTCGTGAGTCTGCATGAAATGTGCGCCACCCTGCCCGGCCTTTCATTCCTCCAGCCAGCTAGCAGCTATAGCAAAGCAGATGTCAGAGCTAACGAGCTAGCGTAGTTAGCTAGCTGTGGAGCTGAGCATCAGCACCGGCTGTGAGGAGAGTGAACATCAACATCAATCTGCACGTCCTCAGCCCTCCGGTCACCGTCTTTGTTAGTAAGCTGTTCCCCACACGTATCTCCAGGTGAGTGAAAGGCACTGGCTCGTGTTTGCCAGGGGAAATGAAGAAATAAATACCCATAACAGGCTATTCAGCGCCAACTTTGGTCCTAGCTAAGTGATGTTAGGAAGCAGACAGCAGCAGACAACACAGCTAATTTGGCTAGCACACTAACGTTAGCCTACAAAGCTAACAACATGTGCTGTGAAAGTCCAATTATCGTTCGATGTGGCCGATAAACCGCAGCGCGAAAGGTCTGGGATCTGCACTTGTTTCATTGTCTCTGATCAAGCCAGCAGTATTGCAAGCTAACTTGAAGCATGCTCTCTGAAATAGTGCAAGGCCCCCGAAGGAAACTGAAGATTTGAGCATAAACCCGTCACGAGTAAATCCGTTGACAATCATTTATGCATTTGAATTAAGACGAACGTTTGAGGGGCGTGTTGCCTGTCTGTGAAGCCGTCACTTTTACGGTTGGTCATTATTGATTATAATATGAAATGAAGTTAAAAAAAATACACACTTATTGCTGGCTGGGATGCACGTTTTCTTAAATGTGTAAGCAATTTATTTTCTTATTTTCAGGAGAGATGTATCAGCTTCCAGTGAATAACCTTACAAGAATTAGAAGAGCTAGAAAACAGGTGAAAAAATCCCTTGGAGACATTGGACTTGAGTTCTGCAAGGAGGCAGCAGAGGTGAGTTTATATTAGTATGTAACTCATACAGTATGTGTGTCGCATACAGCTGATTTTCATTCATGTTTCAAGCAATTTCAGCTGTGCATTTTTAAAACCGCTTAAATGTCTATTGAGAAACATTTTTTGAAAGCAATCAAGGACAATTGAAAGCAATGCATGGCCAGTTAAATGAGTTTAAAGACAGTGCGGCTGGTATGAAAAAGTACTGCAAGCAGTCAACCTTGCCTGATCTTATGTTAACAAAGTGTTATTTATCATAACAGATGAGTCTTTATCTTTTCAAATCCCCCCCCACAGGAGTTCAAAGAGTTTTGTCCTGATGAGCAATATGTAAAGGCTAGTCTTTGCGTTGATATCTGTGCTTGGGATTCATCTTACTCCAAAACACAGGTGAATCTTACTATTATCTTCAGGGATTTTTCAAATACTCCACAAATCATTGTAATAATCTTAATGCTATTGTTTTTTTCCTCCCTAATGTCTTTTAGGAATACAGATCAAAGCCATTTTGCTGCACAGAGTGCCCCTTTTCTTCCAAATACTACTCAGGCTACAAGAATCACTTCCGCAATGTACACCGGAAAATCTTTGAGAGTAAAATTCTGCTCAACTGTCCATACTGCACGTTCACCGCAAGCAAAAGAATTTTGGAGACGCATGTTAAAATATTCCACATACCCAGTTCGGCGCGGCAGAATTATGGAGCCTCACAGGGAGCTGCTCTGGGAAAGAAGGACAAAGCGTTTCTTGATAGGGTTAAACAGGGAGATGGTGTGGAGAAAGCAATGTACTTTTGCAAAAAATGCACCTTTCGGGACAGTCTCTACAATGTTGTGAGAAGACACATATACAGGGAACATTTTCGGCATATTGTCTCACCATATTTTGCTATAGTCCCTGAATCATCTGTCAAAAATGGGGCTAATCCCATCAATGGCAACAACATCCTCTGTAAGCGCTGCCAGTTTTCCACCCGCAGCTATGAGGCTCTAGTGCAGCATGTTGTAGAGTATCACGAGCGCATCGGCGCTCAAGTAACCACTATGATTGGACATGCTAACATTATTGTTTCCAGGCCTAAATCTTCGTCAGTTGCTTCTCAGAAAGCCCCTCTGCTCGTAAGGGACCAAAAACATAGAACTCACCCAACAGCACAACCAGTTATTGGCTTTTTAAAACCAGTGGCCCCTGTTAAGAATCAGTCCTCTGCCACAGCCGGTCAGATGCGTCAGGTTGTTCCTAGCAACAGCTCAATGGCTGAAAGTAATGCTGGGGTAAACACGGCACAGACACAGAAGTGGAAGATATGTACTGTCTGCAATGAGCTTTTTCCGGAAAACCTCTACAACGCCCACTTTGAAAGTGCACACAAGGCAAAGAGAGTTTGGGCGCTGGCAAAGTACATCATGAAAATCCACAACTTCACCAGCAAGTGTTTGCTTTGCAACCGCTATCTGCCCAGCGATACGCTGCTAAACCACATGCTGATCCACGGGCTCACCTGTCCACAGTGCCACTCTGCTTTCCACAATGTGGAGAAAATGATCGAGCATGTTGCTCAGGCTCATCCTGATGACTTTGTCGGACCCCCTGGTGCATCCCCTCTAACCTTTGATCTCACCCTTAAACAAGACAAGTCCAGTAACGTACAGCTCGTTGTGCTCACCTTTAACATGAAAGAATCCATAAATGGTAAGGGTCAGTCTGCCCCCGCTCAGAATACTGTTCCACCTCAGGTCAAACTCACTGCTCCCAGAATCATTGAAAAGAAAAGCGAGACACTTCCAAGAAGTTTCACTGCACTACCATACAAGAGCGAGGTCGGGAAGACTCTCTGTCCTCTGTGCTTCACTATCCTCAAAGGGCCCATCTCGGACGCTTTGGCCATGCATCTGAGGGAGCGACACCAGGTGCTTCAAACCATGCATCCCGTTGAAAAGAAGATGACGTACAAGTGCATACATTGCCTGGGAGTTTACACTAGTAACATGGTTGCCTCTACGATCACGCTGCATCTGGTGCAGTGCAGGGCGGTTGGTAGGAGCCAGGCGGGCCAGGGCTTCAAGTCGGCCTTGACGCTCAACTCATCGGGGGCTGGCTTCCTCAAGAGGCAGCCGCCGACGCAGGCCATGTCCAACCCCAAGAGGATGAAGCTGAGCAAGGAGTCAAAGATGTCCTCCACAGCCGTTGGGAGTCAGTCTGAATCTGATGGCCTTGCTCTGGATCCTAGAAGCTATGAGCACAAGACGTATGAGGCCAGGAAAGACTTCCTGACTTCCTACTTCAACCGGCGACCATACCTCTCTCCTCAAGAAGAGGAGAAGCTCTCTGCGAGTCTGTGGCTTTGGAAATCTGACATCGCTAGTCACTTTGCGACCAAGAGAAAGACGTGCGAGACACTATGTGAGACCAGGAAGCTGTCGGTTTTGCTGGGCTTCGACATGCACGCCGTAAAGAAAGTCAAGCACGAGTTGATCTTTGTGGAGAGCGAGCTTGGTTCCACCTCAACCGGGAGATCCGGAGGCCTCAAGTCTGGCACTCCTAGCACAGACCAAAACCGGCAGTGTGAGACACTAAACTGTACCTTAAAACTCAGTACATGCACAGAGACCATTTCCATTGACTCAGACAGTGAACCAGAAGCGGAGGATGGACCTACAGAGAATGGAAGCGTTGACACAAACCAAGACGAGAATGTTAAATCCGAGGAGACAGCGAACCTGAATGAAGAGTTGGAACCTTTAAACGTGTCTGATTCGTCAACAGAGGAGAGCACTTTGCATGACGGGAAAGCAGATGCTTTGATGACTTTCTGTTAGTGGACCTGCTTAGCAGTGTGCCTTGATTCAGAGAAGGTGTATAGATTAAGACTGGGGAGAAACAAAAACCGCTGGAAAGAAGGAAGGAAAAAGTTGCATTATAGTGCACAAATATTATTGTGCACAAATATGACATAAGTGACATTGTATAGACTTTAGCTTCTCATCTTTGTGAGTTTCTTTATACAATATTATTCACTTTAAATTGTCATAAGATTTACAAAATCATTATGCCTACTCTCCCACTTCCATGAGTTTTTTTTTTTTTTACCCCTGACAAAACTGTATCATATTTTCATTTCACATTTGCAACGTGTAGGACATGCTAACCCCTTATGACCTTGTTTAAGTAAATATGTTTAATAAAAAACATTTGATTTTTCCCGGCCTACTCCAATTATGCAATCTTTGACATTGCTCATTTGTGTTTAAGTGTTTTAATAAAAGAGGCACTTAAAAAAAAAAAACATTGTGGACCGAGCACAGTGGACCATCAAAAGTTAAATGCAGATACAAAATAGATTCTTGCATTGTGTATCAGTCATTGATGGTTAATCTTGAAATTAAAATAACGGGAATACAATTTAAATCCTACCTTCATTTGGATAACCCCAGAGGGAGAGGAAAATACAGCATATGTTTGGCTTTAATTAAAGGACATTTGCTACTAAATAGTTTAGATATTAAAAAGTGCTGATGCTTAATACGCGCTTACCTGCAACTAAAAGCAATATAAAGGTTTTACACATTAAGGTACTCCATTGACTTAATTCTATACTAACGCTTATTTTCTATAAGTTTTGTGGCATTTCTAAGGCAAATATTCCAGGCTGTTCTGGTGTTAAATTGAAACTACGTTGAATGTATGGCGTAGTAACATGATGCGAGATCCATCCAGAACAAACGTACGCGCTTTTCCAGTGAATTAGCTTTCAATGGCCCCTTAACTTCCGCTCTGTCTCAGTGTTGATTGGTGCAGCGGGCATAAGGAGGCGGGACTTAAGGCTAGAACAGAAGCGGGATTGGCTAACTGCCAGCATGCATCACAGTCCAGGCCACAGAGTCTGCAGCTGCAAAGATGTCCATATTGTGTCTTCATTCACAACTACAGCTTCTAGTAACTCCGTAGCTGCCCTCTGAAAGGAAAAACAACATATTAGCAGTTGTAAGTATAACTGTCTACGACGATGAGCTCGCATACGTCCTACTGGTGTAGCTTTAAGTCGGGTTTCGTGCGTTTTCCAAGAGACTGTTTATAAACAGCTAGTTAGCACCTGAAGCTAAAACTGGTAGCATGTACGTGACTTCAGAGCTGTCAACGGTGGCAGGTTGATATCGAACAGACGCGCTTCATATACATTGTAACTACGTGACGCGGGTGAATTTCACCCGGCTCGGATTTTAAAACCGATTATTAGCTCATGTGTTCGCTTGCGCTTTAATATTATTAGATTTCACATTGTAGTTTTCTTCGCTATTTCAGTCGCGGGTGAGTTTTCAGTTCTGTCTGTACTGTCACCGACAGTCCGACCCGTCAGCATGTCGCTGAAACGCGCTGCGAACATTATCATCGTGTGCTAAGGCCGAGCGGATGTTTCTAATCTCTCTGCAATCAAACGCCATTGCCTGGAAACGGTGATGTGATGGTCTCTGGAATTGATTCACACAACTCCAAGCAACTTTGAACAGAGTTTCACTCGCGTCAGTGAAGTGAAACCAATGCTCAAACATAAACACGATGTTGGTCCTTCCCTTGTTTGCTCCCAGGCTGCTGTTACCGGCTGCAACGCCGGGAGATGAAGCTCTAATGTGGTCAGCTGACGGAATGAGAGGAATGGCATGCGTCAACATGGGGTCCTATTAGACTGGCTGCGTGCGCGTTGGAGGTTTTCACGGTGTGGGAACAATGGCGAACATTAACAGGGAGCTGGTGGAGTTCTTCCTAAGCTACAAGCTGTCTCAGAAGAACCACCCAACCTCTCTGTTGAGGCCGGAGGATGCCGGCGGAAGGACGGAGGGAGACAAGGCCAACTCGGCGTCCGTTCCTGGACGCGGGAGCAGCGCCGGCCAGCCGGGGATGTCGTCGCCACCGCCGCCACCGTCCGGTGACACCGAGGCCGTAAAGGCAGCTCTTCAGGACTCTGCGAATGAGTTTGAGCTGCTCTTCACGCAAGCGTTCAGTGACCTCTCCTTGCAGCTAGACGTCACCCCCGACACGGCCTACCACAGCTTCAAGAGCGTGATGGACGAGGTGTTCAAGGATGGCGTCAACTGGGGCCGCGTGGTGGGCCTGTTTGCCTTCGGCGGCGTGCTCTGCGTGGAGTGCGTAGAGAAGGACATGACCGAGCTGGTGTCCCGCATCGCGGACTGGATGACCACGTACCTGGACGAGCACATCAGTGCTTGGATCCAGAGCCAGGGAGGATGGGTGAGTCGGTTACAAATGGACATCCCACGCATACATGAGCATGTGCATACATGAATGTACATATATATAATGCTACTGTGTGTACATTCTTTTGGATTCCAGGACTGTTTTGCTGACATTTTCGGGCGGGACGGCGCGGCAGCGGCGAGGAGATCTCAGGAGACGATGAGAAGGTGGCTGCTCGTCGGGGTGGCGCTGCTAATGGGAGTGCTCGTCGGTATGGTCATGGTCAAGAAGCGGTGAAGCTGCTGCTCGTCTCGGTCACCGCGACGCGCCCTGTGTAATGCTACGCCTACAAAGTAAAACTAAATAGTGGATGTTTACATAAGCCCCGTCTGCTTGTGCACTGACGGAATGTGGGTTGGCTGAAGCAGTTTGTGACGGCGTCCATAAATATGTAGCTTGGTGAGCCGTAACAATCCTCACCCCGTGCTGTCCGGTGTCTTTTTTTATAATTTATTTTCTTTCCAGGCGCACAGCAGATTTTCAGTTGTTAAAGGGTGTTATTCTCCTGACTGGAAGTGCTTAACATGAACCCGATAAGCTAAGAGACAGTGGAACCGTTATCCGTGGACCAATTTTTTTATTACTTACAAACTGACAGAATATAAGTTATACCTCCTGTTCACTGTGGAATGCTCAGCTCCTCTTGTTGGCTGTACTGGAGTTTTAGGCATGCTTAAAAAATAAATCTATTTATGTTTTTCTTGTGTCTTTATTGTGTCGTTCTTATGATTCATAAGTAGCCGGTGTCAAAATCCACATGATAATTTGAACTTTAAGTCTTAACAAACTGTAATTGTGCAGAAATATCCCTCATATTACTCCCATAGCTCTGTAATGTGTTCCCTTTACAAATGTCTTATGTATTACGTAACCTGGCGCACTAACCTAATTACTGACCTACAGATCATAGAATGAAGTCAAATGGAACATCTATTCAATTTGATAACAAGGCAAACACAAAGTATGAGGTTATGTGCCCCAAATTGTATTTTTCTTAAATTCAATAAAAGCGTTTTGCATTTGCAATCTAGTAACCTAAGAAGAATGTAAGTGCATTATCACTATTGTATAAAGCAATTACTAGTTTTTGTCCTGGATTAATTAATATTCATCATAGATGAGAAGAGTAATTGTGTTGAATTAACTCCAAACCAGGAAATTTGTAACATTTTAAATCCAGTCTGGTGTAAATGTATATATGCAGACATGCAGATGTGCACATCAAAGAATACGTTGAATATATATCAAGTACAGCAAAACATGCTTTTTTATACAAGAATACCCCAAATATGAACAGGAAAATAATCAAAAGTACGGTACATAAGTGAATGCACTAAACATGTCTTTAACTAGATAAATTCAACTTATTTTTCTCTTAAAAATAACACGTTTGTCGAGACGGTACAAGGAAGATATTCCCAAAATATACAGACATGGTTTACAAGAACGCTTTTATTTCCCGTTCTTCATCCAATCCTTTAGGCGTCACACGTCCCCTATTTGATATCCGGTTCTGTGTCCTCATATATGTGCACCGGCTATTGGGATGACGATATGAGCAACACGCTTAAATGTGCGTTATCTCTTAACTGCAGTGCGTAGAGTTTAACATCCTGTCAGTTGGAAATAACTGTAGCTGCAGTGTGGTGTTCCGGCCTGTAGGGGGGGCACACGTACCACATCCCCCAGGAGATGAGACGCTGGACATCAGGCCCTGGGACTGGCATGTCGTTCCAATGCATTCCTGGCTGTAGCTGACAGGGCCGGCGCTAGCCATTTGGGTGCCCTAAGCACAAATGCTTGGTGGTGCCCCCCCCCCCCCCCAACCAACCAACCAACCAATCACCACCAAAGGAATAACAACCATTCAGAATGTCTTAGTTAGGTTCTCTTTATTCCCCAAATAACTTCTAAACATAAATAATTTACGTTAAAAATTATATAAAAGATAAAATTATAAATACCAAATACCACCACAATTACTAAAAACACAGATTTGGAACTGAACATTGTAAACACAGGAGGTTCCCCTTTTTCCCCACTAACGGTCTAGGCCTATTACTTTTGTATTGCTTTTGCATATTAACATGCTTTAGACATATTTTATTTGTTATTTATACCAGTAGCCTACTGTGATGATTTTTCACGTCCCAGATTTTTTGATGCGCCCCTCAGGCACTTGGTGCCCTACGCGCAGTGCGTAATGTGCGTGTGCGGAGTGCCGGCGCTGGTAGCCGAAACCACGTTCTGCTGTTCCCCTTCAGAAAATCTGTTTGGAATGACACGCAATGAAAACAACATATTGACCAATAATGGTTATAATCTCTTATTTCATTGAGTCAAGGGTTCAAAGATAAAACAACTCAATATCGTAACTCTCATAACTCTGGCTACCACAACTAAGGAGGACGTGGTGCATCTCTGCCGGATGAAAGGCAGAACGGGAAAAGAGACAAACGCTGAGAGAGAGAGAGAGAGAGAGAGAGAGAGAGAGAGAGGGAGAAGGCCACTAACGGAAGGCCTCGTGAGTGAACTGGAGCAGGCCTGTGGTTGCTAATCTATCCCTGTCATTTCCCTCGGGGCAGAGCTGGTGGGCCACAGCCCCAGATAAACAGCACACAAAGACAGTCAATTTAATAACTTTTTTTTAAGCACGTTATTATTTGCCTTTTGTTTTCCGAGAGCAAAACCCTCGACTAGATCACGGCTCTTCTGACTGCTGTCCAGGCTCCGAAATGGTGGAACGAGCTCTCTGATGACATCAGGACCGCAGAGAGCCTTCACATCTTCCGCCGCAAAACTAAAGACACACCTCTTCAGACTCCACCTCCACTAAAAAGACCTGTTGTAGCACAAATTGTACTTATAATGTCTTTTATCTATAGCAAGTTGTAAATCGGCTTCTTTAATGAAATTACACTTGTTTGTATCCTTATGGTTGAAATACATTCATTGTAATGCTTTGGATGAAAGCGTCAGCTAAATGAAATGTAATGTACTAATTGTGACAATAACAATATGGATTTTGAAGGTGTCATTGCTGATATGTGTTTTAGGGTCAACAGAACCCCCCCCCCCCTTTTTTTAACCTGTTACCTTACATGTGGGGCATCAATGCATCCAATTCCCATCATCAAGGTGCAGACTGGAATCATGGGACTTTAATGAAATGGGACTGAAATTAAGCTGCACCAAGAAGAAAAAAGAAGAAGCTATTTGTGTGTTGTGTGTGTGTGTGTGTGGACCTGTTAGTGTCACTGAGTGTGTGGCATTCCCAGAGGATTGCAGGGCTGCGCATAAATTAAAGTTGTCGTGACTGAAAACACACTCAGCGATGTATGATAATTGTTCTGTCCCAAGGTCATTTTTGACCTAAGCACCGAACATTGTTGTTCTTATTATCAACGGAACGACATTAGTTCATCCTAATGTTTTCTTTTACATTTGACTTCCTTAAAACTAGTAAGATTGAGCCTTCAGATGAGACCGATGATTTATCTGAGCTCTCTTGTGTCACAATAGTGCCCCTCGCCGACTAACTGACAGGGAGCGTGAGGGTGGCGGTGCCAGCAGCAGGTGGATGCTTGTGGGGTCTGCGGCCGCCGTGATAACCAGTGATAACCTATCAGTCATCTCCCAGTCCTCCGCCAGCGACCCCAGCCCTGCCGCGCTGCACACGCTGTACGTGCCCATGCACATGAGCTGCAGTGCCATGACTGAGGAAATGCCCTTAGGAGGAATATTACAACATAGCAAACTTCTGTCTTTCCGGTCGTGAAATCCGCCCAAATCCTGTTGAAGAGTCTTGCCATCACACAGTCAAATGTAATCAGTAAGTAAGACACGGCCTCAGTTTGATTGTCTCTGCTTCAGTGAGAGGGATTACCTGGACATGCATAATCACAGCAGTAAACGACACGCTGCTCAATATACATGCTGCTCTATGACCAAAGACCTGTTCTGTTTTAACTATTGTACTCAATAATAGTGACTTCAGTCGGGTACCTTCACTTCACTGCTTCTTCAGACTTCTGCTCTGCTGCAATTTGACCATGTATGGATATTGCATAATTTTACTCAATGCTATTAGATGTTTCTTCATCATGCTAATACAAGACACGTTGTTATATATTAAACCCCCCTGACAACAGGCTGAGTTCCTCACCTTTAAATGTCTCTACGTGTTTATGAGTGAGTCATTTTCAACCTTTAATGTGAGACCTGGTCTAACTATGTTGGGGGTCATTCTGCTCCATATAAAATACATGTGATGCTTTAAGTGTATTTTGACTTTTACACTGTAACTAAAGGAATATTTTATATATAATATTGTGGTGACCCACAAGTAACGCTGGGGAGACATTCACTAGGGGACTGTACCTTTAAGGAAAAGTTTTGGATGTGAGGTTAACGTGCTGTCTGCAGTAGTTCTCACATGTTGTTCTGAGTGTTGAAGTGGAGAGTAAAGTTGACTCGCTGACACGCATCTCCGTCTCCTGTCTCGTCACTTTACACCCTCCACATTATGGGTGAATTCTGGGGGGGCCTGTGTGGTGACCCACAAGTAACGCTGGGGAGACATTCACTAGGGGACTGTACCTTTAAGGAAAAGTTTTGGATGTGAGGTTAACGTGCTGTCTGCAGTAGTTCTCACATGTTGTTCTGAGTGTTGAAGTGGAGAGTAAAGTTGACTCGCTGACACGCATCTCCGTCTCCTGTCTCGTCACTTTACACCCTCCACAATATAAGACTTTTATCCCGGTGGTAAAAATAGTGGTGATTTAGCGACTGTTACAGAGGTAAAGGATCTGAATACTTAAAGGATTCGTCTATAGATGCTGAGAGTCTCATCTTTGGCCTCTTCAAGAATAGAATTTACGTGGGGAGCTGTGGTGTCATGAAAAGTATCTTAACTTGTTAATAAGTAAAGTCTCTGTAGCCTTTGATCTTAGAAACTTTTGGAAAATCCCCAACACATAAATGATTGTAGTAACGAACAGGCCTTAAAAACAACTTTCTGTTTGAATCAGCTCAGCTCCTTATCATCTTGCAGCGTTAACCCGTCCGTAAGTGTTGCACTTTAGTTAAATGTTTGCCACTTCTGCAGAATGGAGAATTTGCATAGCGGCTGTGTACAATGACACTATTATGGCACAATAACCGCACGCAGTTGGCTTCACCGAACTAAACGGATGAATTCAAATGACACAAAAAAACTCCATCAGACATATTTATTATTTCCTTGGTCGATTTTTTTGATATGGGAATATTTGGCAAATACGAAACAGACCGTAACAAAACCCGAGCACATTTTCATGAATAACAGGGAAGAGACTTGTGTGCTTACGTTCACAGCCGAAACCGATCCCCCATTAGTGTGTCCACGTGTGCTGCCACCTCGGTAAAAGGGACTTTATCTGACTTCAAACACAACCCACTTAATCAGATAATACCAACAAACTACAGTGAAAAACAAACAGAAAACAGAAGTCGCATATGTACAAATTCACACAAATAACTGGCGGGCGAGCTGTTGATTCCGCTTCCCTGGTGCCTCCTTCACACCAGCGCGGGCATCATGCCGGCGTTGAGGTGGTGTGTGTACTGTAAGGAGGCGGAGGAAGGGTGCAGCGGGGAGGGCGGTCGCATGAGGTGCGGCGCGTGGCCGTAGGTGAGGAGCGTCCCGGGGCCGAGGGAGAAGGGCCCGCAGTTGTCCTCCATGGAGGGCTGCTGGCTCATGTCCGAGTACTGCTCGAACATGGCGGCCTTCTTGCTCTTCTTGTTCTTGTTGGACACTTTTCTGTTGCGCGTCTGAATGCTGTCCTTCTTCATGGCGAGCGGCCGGTTGACCTGCGGGGAGGGGACGGCAAACACAATCAGAGCGTCCCGTTGTGCGAGCGGATGCGGGTTCGTGTCTGAGCGATGTACCCGCGGTGTTGGCGAGCGGCCGACTCACGTTGTGCAGCTTGAAGTAGAGGCCGCAGGCGTTGCACACCGGCTCTCCGCTGGCGTTGCGGCGCCACAGTGTTGTTGTGCTGGTGTGACAGTTGGCACACACGGTGCCCGCACGCTTGCTGACGATCTGTAGCAGGGGGAAGAAAAAAAAGAAAAAGAAATTTGACTCAAGCATTTTCGAATTCTTGTCCAGACAAGTGCATCCCAGTGAGTGAAATACCAGTCTCTTCTTGGGACGGATTAGCGGCCGGTTTTGGCCGTTCATCTTGTGGTAGAGTCCGCAGGCGTTACACAGGTAGTGGCCCGTGCCGTCCCGACGCCACAGGGGGGTGGCCGTGGCTCCACAGTTAACGCACTCTCTGGCCTCTGTTCAGAATCGAAAGGTTAATGCTGCGTTGTGTGTGTGGTGTGTGAAGGGTTAAATACACATCCTCTTTTAAAACGAATGAGGAGAACATTGGAAAATCCAAGTGCTCGGGAAGGTCACGTGATAAGAGTGACGCTACTAAATGGACCTCGCGGTGAGACTGTTTGTCAAACTGCCGAATCTAAGGTCAAGGGTGAAGTTTTAACCCTAAATGCATCTTCAGACCATGAATTGATCTGAAATCGGTGGAAAAAACAAAACAATCCTCTCACCTGGAGTGGAAATCCTCATCTTATTGCGGCTCTTTGGGGAGAACGAGGGGCTGATCCATGCTCCCGGGCCGGAGTACAGGGATGCAGAGTTGTACTCCTGCTGAGCCGTCATGTACGAGCTGTAGGGGCTCAGCAGGTGTGGGTGGCAGTGGGACGACGGCGTGTACACGCTCCCAGATGCGGGAGTCAGATTCAGAAAACTGCTGCTGGCCCCGGACCCCCCGAGCGGGCTGAGGCGCTCGGCCTTCAGGGCCTCCTGCAGCCCGGGGCTCTCCCTGCTCTCTCTGCCCGGAGACAAGTACCCGTCTCTGGAGGTGGTGAAGGAGGGGCTGACGCAGGGGTTGTAGAGGGAGGTCGGGGCGTGCGAGTGCAGCGGGGCCTTGGCCAGGGGGCCGCCGCTGCTCCAGGTGGAGGCCGGGTGGCTGTAGGGCGAGCTCAGCGAGTGGCCGCCCGGCCCGTCCAGCAGCTGGAGGTTGCTGAGGAGGCCGGGCGAGGGGAACACCTGTCGGACTTTGGGGAGCGAGACAAGAACAGATTAGCCTTTCGGTCACGTTTGGGGAGGATGTAACGGGCCACAGCGGGGCGGGAGCACTGACCCGAGCTGTGTCTGTAGGCGGGTGGCGCTCGGCTGTGGTTCAGGTTGGAGAAAAAGGAGGGCAGGCCGGCGTAGTCCGTGTCCGAGCTGGAGAAGAAGGCCTCCCCCTCCTCTCCTGGAGGCAGAAGGCCGGACTCAGACGAGAAACCGGCCAGAGGATCTGAGCTGAGAAGAGCCGGAGACGCCCAGTGGGACTGTTCTGACGAATCCTCCATGTTGGTCACAGCTCAACCTGCAGCAGTGCCATAGCACGCATGTTAGAAATCTACAGCGTTTTCGGGCTTCTGCAAAGTTGCAACCTGACAGGACTGTTTTTCAGAGGCTTAAATCAGATGTGAGAGTTTTTGTCACAATAATTTTGTCGGATTTACTGTTTTGATTTTGGCTACATTATCACAACACCCTTCGCTTCAAATCAACCAATGTAACTTCTATCAGGGACGTGATCTCTCGACAGCAGGCGCCTTCAAACTTCCTTTTTTCAGGATCCTCATTTGACTGTGGCTGAAAGTAGAAACTAAATATATATATACGTCTATAAGTGTATTGATGCAGCCGGTGACCAAAGTGGCCTCTGTGACCTTTTTACAATAGGTGTGCCAGTTAGAAGAGGGGACGGGTCCACAGGGTGGACAAACAGGACCGATCTCAAACCACACAGAAATAGCGGTTTGGAATTATTAGCAGCAACCGGTCACACTGCTTAAAAGAAAACGAGACATTTTCACACCTGCCTCTCAACCTTTTAGGGACGTTCTTATCTGGTAATTGGGCTTTGGTGGGGGAGAACTTTGTTTCACTGAGTAAACAACCATTTGCTGCCCTAAAAATGTATTTAAAAGAAGACTAGAAAAGCACAGAATATCAAATCAATATTATGTAATAATTAAATATTCTACATATATATTGTTAAACACTTTTGCTCCATATCTCAAGAGGAAAAGAGAAGGCTGATTGTGTCTGATAAAGTCTGATAGGCAGCAATTATTACAATGCTAAATTTATCCAGCTCCACTGATACAACACAACCCTAATCTCTTCTGATTCATATAAATCTGTCAGACTACAAGTGTGAACGGGTTCAATAGATATCCGCACACTTAAATCTATGCAGAGAACACCGTATTTTCTTAAAAGAACTTCAACAGAACAAACTAGAAGTGAGAGAAACGTAACAACATGGCAGAGCGAGGTAGCATGTTTGTGGAGGCACCATCAAATTTATTTAATTTTATTTATTTATGCACCGAGAGATAAAAAAAAATAGGTGGCAATTTCGTATATTTATTTTATTATTGTTATTTATTTTTTATTATTTTAAACTAAACCAGCACTTCACCACAGAACATGATTGGTTAACGTACCATCCTGATTAAAAGGTGGTTATTTTTACTCATTGAACATAAATAGAATGATATAATAAATGTTAAATTGAGTTTAACTTAAAGTAATCAAAAAGTATGTTCATCATCATGATGACTCATCCAAATGTATTTTAAGTTACCCGTGTCAACATATTAAAGGCAGAACCTATACTGAGAATTAAAAATAATAATAGAAATAATATGAAGAAAAGCTAGAATTTAAAGAAAACATCCCTCTCCGTCACCCCGCAGCAAAGCCCTCATCTCCAGCAACAAGTGGCTCAAACCTCGTGCATAACTGCGCTTCCATAAAGCAGATATTCTTTCCTCAACCCGATGGAACACATCCCCTGAAGAACAGGACCAAGAGGAGACACAGAGCCGAGGGGACACCTACCTGAGTGGATGAGACGGACGAAGGACTGGAGGGTTTAATGTGTGAAGCTGAGTGGTCTGTCTCACTATTATACCGCTACAGAACAACTTCTTCTACCAGCAGCAAAGTTTAGGGCTAAGAGACGGTCCGTGGGAGGGGTTGGGGGGGGACAACTTTTTTGGAAGACACACCTCTTTGGTCCGGAGGAGAAAAAAACTTATGAGCGCAGACATAACATGTTTGGAACTCACAAAGTAAATTCATTTCCAAACGTGAATTGTTTGATTAAATAGTTTGGATGCGAAGGTGTAAAAGGGGGGAGTCGTGGTTCAGCTGCTCTTCCTTTATGGCCGTGTGTGCTGGTAGTGGAGTGATAACGTGTTTGTATCTGTTATTGAGTGATTTCCATTATCAAACCTTCAGGACGTATCTGATGTGTCTGACTGAGTTTATATTTCTAGGATTTCATGTTTTGCACAGATACGCTCAAATCGAGGACGTCAACAGCAGCTCTCTCCCAGGAGCCGCAGGGAGCCCGCGGGGCCACTGCTTTTTTCGCCTGTTAATGAAATGTGCCGACGTGACCCCTGATAAGGACGCGACCCACATGGAAAAGCGTCGATCGACATTTGAACAAAGCCAATGTAGAATGCAAAGGCTTAATCTCTTTGTGGTCCGGCAAAGCTCAGAGTGGAACACGGTAATGCAAATCGGGAGAGGAGCTGCAATCGTGTGGTGGAGATACGGTCCGGACACGGCCGGGCTGCGCACAAACCCAACGCTGTGCCAGTCATTTGGTAGTCAAAGCAGCTCCCCAACTTTCCTCCCTCTTTGTTCATTTACAGTTTTCAGGGAAATCAGGAGAGAAAAACAGTTGGGAAGAATTGGGGCCTTTTTTTTTAATGTGTTAAAATTGTGTCAATCCACTTCCAGAACCTGCTGCAGTCAAATTAAAATAGCATCCTCGTGATGTAACAAGGGGCAGATGAAGTGCAGATCAGTTAGGTCTGATGCAAATAAAGGTAACCGTGGCACTACACTGTAATAGAGGCGCACATTTCAATGGAATTTTCTCTCTCTCCACAGTTGCTTGACATGAAAGTCTTGTGCTAAGCTAACAGTGAAAAGAAACACCCGATGACCTCGCAGGAGCCTGAGAGGTAATCGGGTGTGAAAGTAGTCGACTAACGACCCCTGCTAACACCAGTGACGCCTGTGACAAATCCCTAAGTGCTCCAGCGTCATCACATCACTTTTTGAGGACATTTTTGTGCTCGTCACGCTTGCATCATTGGCGGTGTTTGCTGCTAATGCGTTTTCAAATATGAATATAAAATACTTTCCTTTTCTGAGCCCTGTTCGTCGCCGCCATTTGTAATCCCTCTGAGGAGGGCCGAGACCACCAAAACCTCAAATCTAACACCATGAAAAAATATTTTGATCAACCCTGAGTGATGTATTTACTGCGTTAATGAAATTGAGGCACTTGGCTGTAGACAGATGAACCGAATGCTGTCTGTGTGTGTCAGTAAGAAGAACCCGGGTTTGAAGTACACAGGTAAGGGGGAAAAAAAAGCTTAATGCGGCCTGCAGGCGTCAACTGTGCCCTTTCTCTCTCCCTGTGCATGCTGGGAAGGCTCCAGCTGAACAGCACACAAAAAATACACGGATGCTTTCTGATGCTGAGTGCGTGTGTTATCTAATTAACCGTTGTTGTTTCGCTTGCATCTCTGCAGACACAGCAACATGAAAACAGAGCGCACCAGTCTGCCACATTACATATTACATGAGCAAAGGAGAGACTCGGGTTGTCTTGAGGCGGCGGGGACAGCTGGGCAGGGATGTGGCTGCTGCTGTGGGAGCGGGCTGCTCTGCTCTGATAAGAGGTTATCAAGAAAAACGGAGGAGGCCAAGAATTACGGTCCATGTCGTGTAGCAGCGGCACTCACGCACACACACACACACACACACACACACACACACACACACACACAGGGGACATTGCAGCATGCTCGTGGTCGTGTCAAGCAACTCATAAACCTGCTCATCTCATGCAGACAAACACATGCGCGCGCACAAACAGGGCAGCTCCGCTGACAGTATCTCTGCAGAGGCAGTTGGAGTTGACACGGGAGCATCTCGTTGGACAGTTGGGAGGTGGCATGCGGGTGACGGACGGTGTTGTGTGTTACCAGTGGAGTGTGGGGACAGCTTTCAAATTCCCAAGAAAGCAGCCTCTGTGTAGGCGGTGGTCTTATCTCTGCCGCGCAGGGCTGCAGCGACATGCCCAGGAGAGCTCTTTCTCTCTCACACACACACACACACACACATTTACATACCCCCCCTTGCCCCCACACCCACACACTGTCCTCTTTTTCATTCTTCAGTTCCACACCCCCCTCATCAGTTACTCAGTTTCAGCTTAAATTACTCTCTATCGCGTGATGCTCCGTTTATCAGGCGGCGTGTTGTGAGCGTGTATCTCCCGCGGTGACTCATACGGTTGAATTGGTTGAACAGTCGCCCCTCTAGTGCCACTCTAGTGAGATTTCATAGCTTTTCATATTGCTGATTTTGTGTAATCTCTGTGTTCTGCCGGTCTACAGGGCACCCATGTGCAAAACGATTACCTCAGTAAATGTTGAACCAGAGTGTTTGTTCCACAGTTCTATGTATGTATTTGTGTCCATTTAGAATAGTCAGTAGCAATATAATTACACTGTATGTCATAATTCTTACCTATGAGCATCCAAAATGATTCCTTTTTGTTTACCATTAAGTAGCTTGTTAAGTTGTTAAATTCTTCTAATTCAACGTGTTCATCGGCATCATACACGGCTCGTTGTTTCACCTGTATCATGTTTACGTACACATGATTTTTAATGATGTGTTTCTCAAGGAAATCCTTGTGAGATCCGAAATCTATTTTATCTACGAGGCCTCCCCAAGGCAGCGGCCTTACAAAATCAGAAAGCATATTAAATTACTTCATTTAACTCACAATTATTTATGAAAAATAGAAATACTCTGGTTTCCCTTTTTCTCCATTGGACAGCTGTGTAACCTCATACATGTTTCATACCATTTTAAAACTGACTGGTATGATATTTACACATGTTTAATCCCCCCAATTATTGAAAATACAGTTATGTGGCTTTGAGTTTGGACAAGAGGAGTTTGTCTTGCTGTCAGATTTTTGTGGTGTATATATTCTTTTTAGAGAATACAATATTAAAATGTATTTATTGTAAAGTTATTTAGTTGAAAAATACTTCATCACTTCAATCACTTAAAGTATTGTCCTGTAGATAAAATAAGGCCTTCGGTGGCGCCAACAAAAAGGAGATCGTGTGAGGAAGGTGATCCACCTGAAGCCAATGTCGCCCCCTAGTGGCACGTGAACAAATGATCTAAAATAATATTAGGAATAACAATAATAAAGTAACTAAAGATAAAGACAATCACAGGAAACTTCCACCTTTGTTTTTAGAGCTTTGTGTGGTTTCCAGGCTATCTTAACTTTCATTCTGTACTTGTGGGTCATGACAGGTCAGAGGTCAGCGATGTGGCAACCGGACAAAGCAGCGGTTTTATGGTGCCTTAGAGGGCTGTAGATAAATTCGAACGGAAATATCTTGAACAATGAAATAAATTGACACTTTCACCTTCCTGGACACTTTCATCTCAGGAATGAAGGGTGAGCCACTAAAACGCCATTCTGGCCACATGACATTTTCATTTAAACGTACAGCAAATGTGAGAACGAGACCTGGGCTTTGGGAAAGCACATTTTACAGAAAATGACGTGTAAAGGACATTTGATTGAATGCATCTATGTGACCCCGTTGTAGGCGTCACTATTTACCAACAGGAATTAAAAACACGCTGTGTATTTTTGTATTATATAAGATCTGGTAGTTTGACGGACTGGATCAAAAATAACTGACATTTCCTGACATCTTTCCCACCTGGAAACAAGTTGCCACTGAGACGCGCCTCCAAGTAGAGAAGGCAAACTTCCGAGGAGGTCGTGAAGGCGGCGGCTGAAACTCCGGTGGAATCAAACCCGAACAGACGTGAACATGAACGACAGAAAAAGCCCGATTACATTGAAAATAATCCTCATAGGAAGCGCCGGGTAACGTCAACTAGCTTCTTCTCTAAACTCTTGCCCCCCCCCCCCCCCCCCC